ACATTAGGTCAAATGAACTTTTAGTTAAGTAGGCAAGTAGTTCAATAATTTCGCGCGGAAGCGTTAAACAACCTCAATCATCACTCATCCGAGCTCATTTTGTTTAAAAAATCAGACAAAATCAGTCACCATTGATTACTTACAAAGAAAATGTTGCATATGTTACATCGAGCTCATTCTGATAATCATCTCTTTTTTTGGCATGCACACATGTCTTTGATTAGGGCTAAAGTACACAAAAATTAACGAAAATTAAATTCCATTGAGATGATTCCTTAGGGTTGTGTAAGGCAATTTACAGTTGGTTGAATATTGTTTCAGGATAAAACTTTGCATGCATGCATGCCTATATGATCAGTATGACAAATAAATTTCAGGACCGAAGACCAAAAGCTGGACAATATGGAAACTTTTTCACACGTTCCCCCTGGTTTCCGGTTCCATCCGACGGATGAAGAACTTGTTGATTACTACCTCAGGAAAAAGGTTACTTCAAGAAGGATTGACCTTGATGTTATTAAAGATGTCGACCTCTATAAAATTGAGCCATGGGATCTTCAAGGTATATAAACATTATCACAATCAAGATATTGGAGTCACTTCAATTTATTTAATCAATTGGACAACAACTAATATCAGTTACATAAACCTGTAAGTACAGAACTATGCAGAATAGGGACAGAAGAGCAAAACGATTGGTACTTTTTCAGCCATAAAGATAAGAAGTATCCTACTGGAACTCGAACAAACAGAGCCACAGCTGCAGGGTTTTGGAAAGCCACAGGAAGAGACAAAGCCATTTATTCAAAGCATGACTTAATTGGCATGAGGAAGACCTTAGTGTTTTATAAAGGTCGAGCCCCAAATGGTCAGAAGTCCGATTGGATTATGCATGAATACCGCCTTGAAACTGATGAAAATGGAGCTCCACAGGCAAGAATTTAAATTGTACATATTCTAAATTTTTTATGTACGTGCCGCCGTATTTGTATCATCTTAACTGATCATGTATTATACTACTTTAACCAAGAGATAGTACACTCTTAAAGGTCGATTAAGATGATAAAATAAATTTTGTATTTCCTTATTACATTGTGTTCAAACTTGATTCTTGTGCAATTAAAGCAGGAAGAAGGATGGGTTGTATGTAGGGTATTCAAGAAGAAAATTGCAAGCATGAGAAATAAGATGAGTGAACATGAGTCACCATGTTGGTACGATGACCAAGTCTCCTTCATGCCAGACTTAGACTCACCAGGGCACAACTCTAGCTCTATGAACATGAACATGGTGCCATACCACCACCTTCCTAGTTATCCATGCAAGAAAGAGCTTGATCACTTGCCCTTCCAGGTTCCCCACGAGCACTTCTTCCAGCTTCCTCTTCTCGGAAGCCCAAAACTTCTTCAATCATCATCAGCCACAGCTGTAAGCAGCTCCAACTCCATGGCACCTCATGCATATGGCATCGACATTAACCATGCTTGCACTTTTCAGCCGTCAGATCAAGACCAAAATTTTCATGGTGTAGTCTATGGTAACAGTAGTAATGACGATCATCAGCGAACAGTAGATCAAATGACTGATTGGCGAGCGCTGGACAAGTTTGTAGCTTCACAGCTCAGCCAGGATGACGCCTCAAAGGGAAATAGCTACTCATGATATTACATGCCCTGTTAATAAAATGTCTATAGTATGTATTAGACAAATATGGATTAATACTCAAACATTTGGAAGGAAGTGACACCATATGAAATTAATCATTTAGTAGTATATATATATACCGATCATAGGATTTAAGTACATTAGGGAAAATCGAGAGGATATTGATCTCACCATTTCCTTGTACATAATAAAACTACTGCATCAACATTGTAACTTAATTAAACTCTAAACTTCTGTTTGTTTGAGTGGTAATTTAACCCCATCAAATTAGTCATCACTTTGAAATTTCTACATCTAGTTAGCAAGCGGACTGTTCATGGAGCTGAGTTTGCTTGAAGAAATGAAGCTGATGAAGCATTGTATTTGCATGTCATGGGACTTTATTATGTGCTACCTATAGCTAACAGCCATGTAAGCTGTTAACGAACTCGACCAGGTGGTCGATTGATTTTAGAAATGTTACTTAATTTGTATGTCAACTGAATGATATTAATATTACTATATACAGTTGGAGTTCTATATCTTTGTATTTATTTTTTTTCAATAAGGCAAGAAGTGTGTAGCTCAGTTGGTTAAGAATATTCACCCTTTCACTTGAGACTTTGAGTTCAAATTCCTCTATTGCTCCTCTAAAAAAGAGAAAATGTTCCTTTAAATAATGTATCTGCCTCACCAGAATGGTTGTTTCTTCCTTTGACCGTTCTCAAATTTAGCACCCAAAACATTAGTGGAAAGAGGATCGAGTGCTCTGGTTACTGTCTATATCATGATATCTGATATGAGAGCCGGAATAATAAAGTTATATATTACACGAATGATGAATACTTGCTTTGATGTAAAGCTTGGCAAATGCAGTTATAGTACATTTTCTTCTTTTTAAATCGTAGAAGGCAAGTATGTAATTCAATCAACCAGCAAGAACTACGTATCCATATAGTCGGCACCACAAGAGGTAGGTTTTAAGCGCTGACAGAGTATGCTTAGATTAAATTTCTTATCAATTACCATGTTCTAGTAAGTACTAGATAGGGCAGATGTTTGGAAGTGGTCTATTGCTAATTTTTGGGTGCTTGTTGTCATAGACTTTGAAATGTTATTGTATATGACTTTGAAAAGTTAATGTGTTTTACTGAAAGGTATATTTTTTATTAGGTACTCGAATAAGGTTATGTGATATATATCATGTCAATGTATTAAAATATTGAAAGCGCTACGGAGATCACCTATTGTAAATCACATAAAAATCATCTTTCTAATAGAAATGGAACCTACTTGTATTGTGAACCCTACTTCTATTTGAGAGATGGTTTAGATGTAGTTTACAAAATGTGGTCTCCCCAACTTGTGACGTAAATGTAATATTATCATACGTGGACAATAGCGAAGTTTCATTTTATTCTCACCATAATTAAAGGGTGATGCTAGTTGGACACACAAAATTATAACACACTTGCCGACACACTTTTAATACTAGTGAGATTCACATCTAATAGCAAATCAATAAGTGTGTCAGTTTTGTGCGTCGAAACAGTTTTATTGTAATGCTCAAATTCTAAGCTAGCTATTAGCAAATCAAGGGAGAGAAGAATGCCTATTAATGCATTACTTCATCAACTTTTTCTATATGCCACTCTTCTCTTATGTATTTGGCACTACCATGAGGAGCTGAAAAGGAAAAACTATCTCTAACTTGAAAACGAAACATGCAACCGACCCGGATGAAAATTTTAAGCTGAACTTACAACTAAACTTGGAACTTTTTCGAAAAAAAAAAACATAAAAAAGAACATGAACTACTAACCTATATATGGGGCTCGTGGATGTGTGAGAAAGATAAGCTGGAGGCAATTTGCACCAAAGCATAAAATACACCCAGTTGCTAAATATAGATATCAGTTATATATGGTAGGGATTGGAGAGCTCCAGCAGGATGCCCTCTGAATTTTGTAGCATTTTCATGCAAGAGAAACGAACAAACGGTTGCAAGGAAATTTGAGGACATTGGTTACCTATTTATTTGGATAGATCTTTTCATTATTTACTTGTTGCCAAGTCAAACTCGACAGTCCCTTTCAAGCAATGAAAGTTTTGGTGCGACTGCGACATACTCATTACTCATTAGGCATGTTCGAGAGAGACCAAGAGAAGAAATTAATTAAGTCAATGAGGTATCCTAGGATAGAAAAGTCGAGTGAACAAGTGATCAGTTGGTTTAACGGCACCTAATTTCCACTTGATTTGATTATTATAGAAGGTTTTATGTTCGATTTAGATGAATGCGAGAATATTATATATCTTATAATCACTTAGATATTACGTTCTAACCCAATCTAGCTTATTGTGGATAAATTAATGACAGTATCTTCGTAAATATTAATCATATCATTTGTTTTAAAATTTAAAAAGGAAAAAAGAATGAACTAATGAGTGTAAGAAGAAAATGTTACCCACACGCACGACATGAACAGAAGAAGACTTTAGAAGGTGGTAATTAATTGCAAATATGTAATTAGAGTTTTATATATTTCTGAAATTCTTGCTTGTGAAAGAAGGATGATATCCAGTGTAATCATACTTAGTCCATGTGACTGCTATCATGTTCTTCAATTAACCCACAAATTAACCTCTTTCTGAATCGGGTCCCCATCCTAGACCTACCCTTAAACATTGCTTTTCTAGGTCACATAGTCCTTGATCCTATCGTCAGTTTCAGGAAGTCGCCATTTCGTTAGGATCGAACGAATGCTATAGCGTAAACTAATTTAGTTGATTAGGAAGCACTTTTCAAGTGCTTTTCAAAAAGCACGTGATTTTTAATTAAAATTTTCACATGCTAATAAGATTTTCTTGTAAGATGACAAGAATAGAAGAGTTGATCGCCCCATTGAATCTCAACTAAATTGCCCCATCTATCCTCTGAGTACAAGTTTGGTTTAAAACTTGGTTCAAACAAGTGAACAACAGCTATCACTGAATACTATAACTCTAGTAGTATTTCTCTTCACATATAAATAAAAAGTTTTAGGTTCGATTCTCGTCAAAAACGAATTTGTAAAAAAAAAATAAAAAATAAAAAACAAGTGAACAACAGCTGGAAGCAGGTGATAATACCCCCTAGGCTGAGGAGCAAGATAAAGAATCCCCCCGAAGAGAGGCTCATATTTGATTAGATAGTTGGTGAGACAAAGACAATAGCTTCCGAATGAATCATAAAATGACCGACATAAATCATCATAAAAAAAAACACATTGACAATTTGAGGGACGGTCAAGGCCCACGTTCTCGAAGGACAAATAAAAAATTAAAAAAAAAACACACACACACAAATGGGAAACTTGAGAAAAATGAAGTCAAATGGTATACATCATGAGACTTCAATTCATGAGTACACATAATTTCAAGAACGCACAAAAGAATGTTGGATACAGAATGACCTATTACAACGCTATGGTATGGGAAGTATCGCCACAGAAAAAGGAAGAAACAAGCATTTATCTTCTGTCACTAAAACCACCCAAAACCCGAAATGTACCACCATCACACTTTGATTTGCACACCTAAAACTACCATCTGTATTTCAACCAACCCAGCAATTCAGCACGAAAAGCCGCCACTGCTCGGAATCAACCGTCACCATTAACTAACTCATCATCTAAAAGTACAAACCAAAGTGAAGAATGCCACCAGCAGAGAGATGAGCAGCCTCGAACTTCCCCTGGAAATTGATGTTGCAGAAGAATGCTTCTGTTCCCTGAAGATGCCAAAGAAAGAAAATTAAAACGATAATTTTCATCTAGAGGGGAGAGTGAGTGAGTGAGAATTGTTAAGCATACTGCTGCCTGCTGGCTAAGGCACCACAATACAGAACATTATTGGGCACACCAAACTCTGTTTCACCGCTCTCCTCTGGATTAACGATTCTCAGATATGTCTCTTGGCCAAGGTACCATCTATCAAGGTTTTGAGTTCTAAGATTCCACACTCCGGGATTGTCAAGCGAGACAAGCACTGCTGTCCATGCGCCTGGGAAAACCTAGACAATCACAGACAGAAACACAAACACTTCATGCAAGACATAAAACAAGCATATTCCAGAGTCATCCTCATACCATGCATGAACAGACTGGACAATAAGTATGTAAGCAATCATTTCAGAATTCACATGCTAAGGCATATATCATCCAACATCTACACATTTGCATTTGACTTGAATGTATGTACGAAATATTTGCTACACGGCCATCAGGACTTTTTTTCTAGAGTTTCCATTTAGTTTCTTCTCTAGATTTTTAAGAAAGGGCATAATAACCGGCTGAAAAGCAAAAGGTATCATAAAGAATAAGAAAAACAGATGTTCAAAGACAAACCTGTGTAGTGCTTCGAGTAATTGCATCCCACTTATTATATGCACTTCTGCTGTTTTCAGTCCAATCACCAAAACCCATCCTGCACACATCAAATCATTTTCTCTAAACACCAACTAATTTCAAAGTAGCTGATATAAAATGATACAAACGAAAATAAAACTTACCCAACCAAAAAAAAGGAATATCCATCCAAATGAAAACTCTGCACTGCGGTGTTATTGTTCTGGAAAACGATTTCAATAAAACCCTTATATGTGGCATTGATGACAGATATGTCTGTTCGGGGGGTTCTATTAAGTGGCTTATTGGGGAAATCAAGCTTATAGGCTCCTCTAACATTGTTCTTATCTGCAAGCCTAATTGGTGTAGTAAGGTTGGCAAATGAGATGCCATTCAGCGTAGCTCGCAGTTTCCCACCAATTATCTGTGGTGGCACAGTCTTTATCACGTATAAATCAGTGACATTAATTTGACCATAGTGAAATGATCCCTGAGGATTAGGGCGAGCTCCACTTGCAGATCCATTTTGCCTAGCAATAAGATAGCCAAAGACTTCAGACGAATGAACTAGTAATGAACTACTCTGAGAATTTACCTAAAACCGAACAATTAAGGGGAAGAAATGAGGAAATCGCAAATCCAATATATGCACGAACAAAAACAAGGCATAGTTTACAGCATCTAACTGAATCATCTGTTATGGCAATGATCTAAATATTTCTGTAAATTTAAGTCAAGAACTGATCATCTGTTCAAGTTGATTTAAGATAAGAGAAATAATGGCTCCTCAATAGCAAACTTTTAACATCTTTCTACCACAAGACATGTTACAAGAAATCAACATCTTGAAGGAATATAAATCTTCAAAAACAAACCTGATAGACAATGCCTGGTTCATCGACCATGTCTTGTCATAAAAATCGTTGGGAGGGTCAGGGAGAGGACCACTTGCTGGTCCTTTAGAGTTGGAATAGTGCAAGACAGCAACACCAGTAACTCTTTGCCAAAGTGATTCATTTACAAACCTCGCACTTGCAACGATGTAGTAATCACTACTGGCATTCTGATCCATGGTAATAAGAAATGAATATGACTGTCCAACATGAATGTCTAAGTTCGTATAGTTTTGTTGCATTGTATAATATCCCTCTGTTTCAGCTAAAACCAGATTGTGATTCTGAATTCTAAAGTTCAAACTTGTTGAAATACCAACGTTGTGCACTCGTATTCTGTATGTCTTTCCTGCAAAACACATTAATTTGAAACAATTATCCGAGAGAATATAAAATATATCACAGAAATAATAATATCGCACCACACGTTTCACCATTTTATGTCTCCAATTCTGAAGACTAGGAAATCCAAATTCCTTAATCGACATTAGTGATCTTTACCAGGGAGAAATATGCTTCAATGTATCAAAATTAGACAGGTAGTGCATAAAAGGATGATAGTAGAATGGAATTGTCAACAAATGTTCATAACAACAACAATAATATGAAACAAGACAAAGCAAAACAGAAAAAGAACAAATGCAACATTTATATATTCATGGTCGTCTCAGCAGAGATAACCTGTGATAACAAAGTGAAGATTGAAAGGGATGGAGTGTTGGGAAGGAGGATGGATCATGGTTGCAAAAGCCTTTAAAATATATACCTGGATCAACATTGATGGTTTCATACTGAATTCCATCAGGTACTAGAGTATTATTGTATTGATAAGGTCCCTTTCCATTGATAAGAACTCCATCTGGCATCCCAAGGTCTTTTCCAGCATCAAGAGCAGTTCTCAGTGCCTAAAATCAAAGGAAAGGAAAGGGAGGAGGTCATTCCTGAACTTCAGTCTTCATTGTTCACATGTAAAGACTTAACACACCAACAAATACTGACCGTATGGTTTTGTGTGTACCAGTCACCGATAGTAATGAAGATATCACCAGCAGGCAGATTAAAAGGAACATTAATTTCTGCCCTGTTATTAATATGAAAGGAGCCAAAACCTCCAGATGCTCTCTGCAAATTAAGAGATGGGAAATAGAAGAAGCTCCCGATCTGGTCCTTAACTTGAAACTGATAAGTCCAATTCCATGAAGGAGGGATCGGACAATTTGTGCCAAGAACACCATCCTGCCATGAATTCCGCCGCATTTGAATCCCAGACCTGTCATAGAAATTTCACAAACATCTCAAAAACATCCCATCCAAGAAATACAACGAAATTTGTACGAAAACCTTACCATGTCATCAGGAGATTTTCGTCCAATTCATTGTGTACATTAACAACAACATTGTTATTTGTAGTAGCATTGATAGGAGGACCTGGAAACTTCCCATTAACTGCTATAACCTGCAATCAAAATTCCAATAAAAACATGTAATGATACACTTTGAAAATTGCTCAAACTCCAAACAATGTAAGATGCACACATGGCCTAAGATCTACATTAATCACCCAAACATAAACGAAAATATACTCGTAAATTATACGAAAAGGGGGTAAAACCCCTCCCGCACAAGGGTTTTAGAACCAGGACACAAATAATCTAAAAATAATATGTACTGCAAAATCAAGCAAATATCGCTGAAAAACCGAAGACTCACTAAATACTCTTTTTAACCCCTCAATCCATCTCACAGTCACTAAAACCCTCGTTAACAGTACCAGAAATAATCCATGAATGCACGCACAATCAAGCAAGTATGTCTGGAAAAACAAAAACCCACATCGAAATGATCTATATATACTCTTCTTAAACCCCAATCTACCTCACTATCACTGATATAAACCCACAAACAGCAAAAACCACAGATTTAATACATAAGTCACAAAACACAAAACCCATGAATTAAAAATGTATTCAATAGCAGTTCCAATGGATCCAGAGCCAAACAGAAAAGTTAACAAGCGCTCGCACTATCATACAGCAGTAAATAAACAGAGTAAAACCCAAATGAAAGGGAGACGAGAAAACCGTACCTGCTGAGAAACGCCGAGAGGGGAGGCGGTGATGTAAGAGACGCGAAGTCGTAGAAGACGTAGGGGTCTCCAGCAGAACAGAGAGTTGAGAGCAGAGCAATGCAGGTAAGAGAAAACAGAGTAAACAGAGAGAACCTCGACAGAGCCGCCATGGGGATCCTTAACTACGAAGTCTACGAAATCAAAGTCGAAGTTTCTGGGATTCGGCGAGTTTCCCTTACATATCAGAGGAGGAGAGAGAAAGTAGAGAGAAAGAGAGGAGAGAGCGGAAACGGAGGTTACGAGAGTGTGAATACGAAGAGAGGAGAGGAAGTTTCGTTCTTCTTCTTCAGCTGCTCTCAGAGTGTGTAAGAGAGAATGAAGAAGGCTCCGTGTCACGACAGTATTGCCCTACAACCACTTCCGCTTCTCGAAATTTTTAGCTAAACGCGCGTATATTAAGGAGTGCGGCAGGTGACTGCCTCAACCGATTGGATTTCTAGTTTTATTCTCTTCGCATATAATAAGTATCTGAAAAATTAATGATCGATATAAAAATAAGTGATGAAAGCAAACTTGCTATTGAACTTTACTGAACGGCACTCCACTGCCACTCAAACTTACCACGTATTAAGCCAAATTAATATAAGATTCTTCTTATTAAATTTAATCTAAAAGTTGAAAAAATAATTACTGCATAAACTAAAATCGAAAAACATGTAAGATTTATTAGTCTCGAGTCCACCTCCTCCCTCTCTCCTTTCTTTCCGTCCCCACCAACCCAACCCCTTCATTTAGTCAATGTTCAATGCATGCCCAAAAATACATATTTGTCAATTCAACAAACATTTCTTGTTTTCCTCTAATCATCAAACTCTATTTTACAAATTGAGAATTGTTAAGAAATAAAGGGGAGAGTTTTCGATAAAAATAAAAAATAAAAGAAAGAAAGAAAGAAAGAGGAGAGTTTTTTTGGGGTCAGGGTTTAAATGTCACCGCTCTCTGTAAATTTAATCAAAGTCCTTACCTAGAAACCCATGAATTGAGAGTGGGTGGGTAGTAGGTGTGTAGATGGAGATTAATGTTTAACAAATGGTAAGTTTTGAGTGGGTGGTGGCACGTTAAACCTCACACAAGCTTTTTCTCTATATCGGCGAGATAAAGAAAAATCAATGAATATGATTCACTACAACGGTTTTTGCCAAGACTCATTGCAAATGTCTAACTTTCAATTTTTTTGAGAAAGTTTTCTCTAATTTCGACTAATTAGAAATAAGTTGATCCTTACCTTATTGGAATTTTCTGTAGTTTCCATCGAAGTCAACTGATACCAATAACGATATTAACATCGATATATCATCAAAAATTATATATCTACATTTTTATAAATTCGCATATCCATATTTTCACTTGTATCAATATTGTAAACGCTATAATAGTACTTTTCTCATCAAATTTTAAAATGACAAAAACACCTTCAATTTTTATCAAATCCTTGACCCATTGTTTAATGAATCGGGGGTATTTTTGTTATTTTGATTTTTATTTAATATAATTTTTCATGAAATGACTAAAATGATTAATGGTGGAAAAACTCATGACCATTTTTATTGATTTCAATTTTAGAGATTAAGATGATGAGTATACCAATCTCAATAATCATTTTGACTAAAAAAAACCAAAAAAAATAATACGTGACTGATTTACCGGGTGCTGCCGGTATTTTCTCGCACAACTGCCCCAGGCCCCCCACTAACGCAAAAGGCACAAGTCTCGGCGCCTCGCGCTCGCTCAAATTTTCTAACGTTCTCATCCTCTGCAAAAGCAACCACATGCACAGCTTCAGGCCCCACCCCAAACATGCTGACTGTGTTTTTTATTTTTTATAAATATTTTCCCCTTTTTTTTATTTTTCTGGGTGATTATTTTCTTTCTGGAACACGCACGTTACACGGTTTACTAATTCCACAGTTTGTTTTATGGAAAAGAAAAAACATATGCATTGGGCAACTAAATTTTTGGGATTCTTTGCTGAGGTGGCATAATCTGTTGCCACGTCACGTTGTCTGTTGCGTGCCTTTGATGGATTTTCTAACAAAATTAGTGGGTGGTAATATATATTTTCTTACTAAATTAAGGATTAATATTTTAAAGTTTTTAACCGTTAAAATGTGTACATATAGACACGGCAAAATACCGTAAATTTTTCGGCTAAACTGTTTAAAAATGTCGGATTTTCCATTGTCATAAAAAAAAAAAGGTTAGTTGACTTGTCAATCAGGGAGCTGATTAAAAATATGATTACGTTAAGTAAGGAGCATTAATTTGCGTACCCTAAACTTGTTTTTCACTTTACTATTGTCTCACCTAGATAATATTATTTTGTTGGTAAAATTTAAATAATATAGTTATTTTTATTGGCCAAATATTTACCATTATATGTATGGATTTGGTGAAGTACAGCTTTGGGGAGTTTTCGTGAGAGCTGAGGTCTGTGTGGCAGCATGTGCAATAGAATCCAAAATTTATATGGCCGGCTTGTACCATCCAACAAACCTTGTGCTTTAAGTTTATATATATGACATTTGTTTATTTGTTTTTGTTTAAAACAAATGTCCGAAATGAATTGTTGTATCATCAGTTGTATATATTTATGAGTTTATCATCTAGATTCGTGTGAGGATACAATAATGATATCTAAATCTTCATTTATCGAGTGAAATGAGTCGTATCCAACCGCATAAGGAATAGTGTACAAAATCGATAATTGTGACCACCTGGCTAGCATTTAGAAGTGGTAATTGTATGAATTAGTTGAAGAGTAGTTGAAGGTCGACTCATATAGATGATAATTATAATATATAATTGTGGTTAACCTTATTATGATGATGTGATTTTGTTGTGACACTGTAAGTACATTGTAAAATTTTAGCAATTGTTGAAGTTTAATATCTCAAGTGAAATATTAGCATTGAGTGGATAAAAGTGGTAGTGGCAAGTCACAACTTTCAAGTGAACAAATTGTGGGAATTGAGGGAAATTGGCGACCGTGAGGTGGTTGCGTTTCCATATTTTACTTATTGGTCGAAGTTTATAGTATCTTAGTCACGATTAATGAGAATCTTACTAACGTCAATGGAAGACGTGCACCCAACGTATGCGGCACAAGAAGAATGATACAAAATAAGGGACGTGGCTTCAACATAACAAATGATTTAGCGGTTGGATTTGATTTCGGCAATTATTAATCTACTATTTTCAATCTCATTCGTTCGTTTTTCATATTATTTCAGAAAAATTATTAGTGCTAGATACATTGAAGAAGAATTGCAAACTAAAAGGAAACTTTTGTAATATATAATTTTATAAATAATGCTTTAGTGGTTTATCTTTGCAACTATGATAAACATTGAATTTTCACATTATCCTTCCACAAAAAGTGTGGAATTAAATATTTCTTCTTGCATTCTAAAATATTCAACTGTCACATCATGTAATTTGCAAAAGATGATCTAAAAGTTTGTCCTACATAGGGTGTGTATATATAAATATATATCCTGAGAGCATTGGCAGGAAATGGAAGCAACTAACTTGCACATGGTTGGTGGGGAAATTTAATCAGTTAGTTATTTTTTAATTAACTTGCTAATCATATTTTAATATCTCTTAATTGCCAGTGTGCTGGCTTATGACCCATTCAAAACCCTAGAAAAATAAATAAATAAATGATTAGGATTAGCCATGATCCATTAAGCTCAAATCTTCTTTTGTTGGGATGGGTATTGGATGCATTGATGCTGCCAAAAAGATTCAGAACTGAAAATAAAAGGTCAAATGGCGCTTCACAATTTTAAAAACTATAATTTAAAAAAAATAAGACCTAACGGTCGAATACCAAGTCAGTCACGTTACACGGGGAAATTGAATTAAAGAATTAAAGTAAGGAGCAAAGCACATGTTGTTCAAGAAGAAAAAAAAGGGAGTTATAACGAAATGACCACGGTATTATTTATTTTAATGAAAAATCACATTTTTACACTAAAAAGTCAATCCTGGTACTATTCAATTTACTATTTATTTTGTCCTTACTATTAAAATTTAAAATTTTCAAACCCTTTTCATTAATTTTCTATTAAAAAACCCTAATGGCTCAATTCCATGTGGGCTCTCACTTTTACTTGCAGCCCCAAATTTTCTTGCCCAATCCAACATGCATCAGACAATTGGGCTTTTAGGGCCCAAATCATTAGATTCAATTGCTTGAGGAAAGTGATTACGAGCTTTGCTCTGATACAGCAATAAAGAAATTTAGTTATATCTCTACAGCTCGTTCGTTAAAAATATTGAGTAGTATGTAGCTCGAAATGACGAACATCATATGGTAGTGGACATCTAGCACTATTTTTATTTTTGTTATACAAACAATATTAAGATCGATAAACCAACACAAATACTTCATGCCAAAAAACAAACACGATTAAGTACTCGGATTACTAACTCTTCGTTTAGCAGTTAGCACTTTTAATTTTTAAATAACAACAATACAAAGTGGATAACAACATGTAGGACATCGAAGAAAGATGAATTTTAGCTAAGTGAGCTAATAGCGCAAAGAAAGTGTAGAGAATAAAAAAGGGCAACCTCAAGCTAACAAGACTTTCCGTTTTGTAAGTGTCAGGGAAGAACGTCTATCAGGGAGCAATGGGCAAAATTTTTACTTTATTAATTTATTTTTCTTGGAATCTAAATGGATAGATATCGCTCGAGGACAAGCCTTAGATACAAACTGAATGGCAGCCCATTGAGAAAAGAGTAATAACACCGCCATCGATACACATTTTTGACATTTTGCTCGCCAGAAAGTTTGTGATTCCTTGGTAGCCAAGTGATGACTGGCAGCTGCTGATGCAGGAGATGCTTTTGCTTGTGTTGCAAGAATTGAAGTAATGTCACTGATTAAACCTGGTCTAATGGGAATGGATGAATGAAGGCTGAGTTGAGCTGCCAGATCTTGAGGGTAGCCTTGACATTCACTCCTGTTGCATTATTGAACAAAAATAGCCTTGCTGCTCCATAGATTGCTTCCGTTGGGTAAACCCGCGATGAAATTACCGTCCTGCCCCCTTGCGCGTAGCTTTCCACAATCGAATGATCAACCTGCACATTCAACACCCAACAATTTAGATTCAACACCATTCTCAAGGTCCTTCTGTTATTCACAGTTTGACACGTGCACATAAGTAGCGTGTGCTTTGAAGTTTTATGCTACAAAAGATAATACAACTTGGCAAGGAAGGAAAG